AGAGCATGGAGGTCTCCACCTAAAGGGGGCCAGACTGGAAGGCTAGCCTGAGAAGTTACATGCCCCTCCCACCACATTCTTTTGGTAAAAATAAGGCAGAGATTCAGTTTCAGTCAAGGGGTGAGGAAACAGACCCTGCCTCTTGATGGGGAGTGGGCAGTCCCACTGCACAGGGTAGTGAACACAGGGAGGTATGATTCACTGAGGACCAGTATTGTAACAATCTACCACAGCTGCGCTAATATGGGTCCTAGTTTACCAGTGCATTCACATCTTTTTCTCATTTAATTATCACAAGAACCCTGAGAGGTAGTATATTATTTTCTCCTTTTTCACAGTTGAGGAATCTCAAGTTCTGAAAAATCAATGAGTTACTATCCGAAATAGGTGTAAGATGGCACAGCTAGGATTTAAAGTCAGACATTGTCAACCAAACAGTCACAAAGAATAAGACACGCACATGTCCCGATTTTCCCAGGAGTAGGTTCTGAATTCGAAAGCCTGTTTTTAAAATGGGTGAATAAATAATGCTAAATCATCTATTATAACCTCATCACTTATTAGTAATTCTCAATTTACAAAGTTATATTGAAAACTGCAATAGAAACGAATTTTATTCTTAATGTTGTATACACCCTGTGTCTATAGGAACATATTTTAAATACAAGCAACTTTCTCCTTTATTTTAAATTACAGATTTACTCTAGAATAAGCATAAAGGGAAAGAAACTGGCTGATATTCCAGATGTCAGAATTCAAAAATAAATTTATCAAACTTTTCTCTAAAACACTTCTTATGTTTTTTCCCTCAAAATTGAGAAGCCAATTCATAATCACTGTAATCTCACTTGAATTTCCTCCACTCTAGCGACAGATTTCAGTTTGAAGCAGAGCTAACAAAAATGGCTGACAGCAGCAATTGAGAAGCAGCTCAACCATAGCAAAAAATGAAGTTGGACCTTAAGCCACTGCAGGTTCCTGCTGCACTAATTAACACAATCCTCTCTTACCTTCTATTAGAGAAGGAACATTAAAAGAAGATATGTGCCTAAATAAAAATTGTCACATTCTCTACAGTTATGCAAACATGAATATATACATCCACACGTACACTAAAAATGCCTGGACTTTTAAATATAGAAAGTATAAGAATAGTTTGAGTTCTATCACTCATCACATCACATAAAATCACTGTTATGGTATTGACCACATCATTTTTTTCAGCTTCTTCAGAGGCATTTGTTACAAAACTTTGTTAGCATTTTGATTCCCTAGCTTAACAGGTTGTGTTATTTTTGTTGTTTTAAAAAAATGATTAGTAATAATTACTGGTATTCTTACACCATTAAAAAAACTACAAATTTACTTTGGAAAATATAGAAAATTATAAATAAAAAGTAAGATTATTTAAGGTCCTGCCGTTAAATATATATGGGTTTTGTTGGTTGGTTTGTTTGATTTGTTTCCTTTTTTTAATGCAGTTTAGTCATTTCAATTTTTTTGCACATTTATGATTACATAATTTTATGAAAATTTACCCCATGTATACTTTGTGAAATTTTTCCTACGTTATAATGAACTCTCTAAAAGTATTATTTTAAATAAATATCTTCATAAAATACTCTATCTAGTTATACTAGATTTTACTTTTCCTTCTATATTGAGGCAATAATGACTTTTAATTTATGGCTATTATAAATAATAAGGCAGTGAACATTTTTTTCACAAAACCATTTTTGTAACTCAAATGATTTCTTTAGGACTGATTTCCAGAAGTGTATCACAGATTATGACTCTTTTTAAGGCTTTTGATAAGTACTGCCAAATTATTTTCCAGAAAGGTTGACTCTAGTTACACTCTCAAATTTAGCTTATGAAAGGGCCTATTTTACAAAACACTCACTAATATTATTTTAATGGCTTTAATAGGGACATAAGGGCACTTAATAAATAATCCAATATTCAGATTATTGCTCGTGAGAGATTAATAAATATATGCTATTTTTAATAGGCTAAATTTATGTAAAGATTATTTAATTGTAGGTTTTGAAAAACGAGTGACATTACATATTTTTCTATATTTGATGAAGACTATTCTAACTTTAATTTGTGCAAAGTCCTCAATTTATTTAATATTGACATGTGACCACACACAGGTGGTCTGTTTGATTTTATCCCAGGTTGAGTGGGATCTGCCAGGACACGGGCAGACTAGGCCGTCCCATTCCAAGGAATCATTATCTAGTCATGTTTAGCTGTTAACTATCACATTCAGATTGATTCTTATCTACTGAAATAGAAACTGCCTGGGAAAGTGAGACAAGAATTAAAGGAAAGGAAAAGATCTAATTTTCTGGAGTTGAGAAGTCATTTCAGAAAGACGTAATGGTGGAAACCACAGTGGAGAAAACCACAGTGGAGGTTTTCAGAAATTGATTCATTTTATGACCCACCTATCAGGCTGAGTGAATCAGAGCTGAACTATCAGTTTATTAACTTAAGTCTGAGTTCAAATACAGTCATGTTCCACATAACGACGTTTAGGTCAACGAGGCACTGCATATACGATGGTGGTCCCATAAGATTAGTACCACATAGACCAGGTGTGTAGTAGGCTATACCATCTAGGTTTGTGTAAGTACACTCCATGATGTTCGCACAACAACCAAATCGCCTAACAATGCATTTCTTAGAACATATCCCCGTCATTAAGCGACACATGACTATAAATGACTATTAAAGTAACTATATAATGAACAAGGAGCAACAAAGCTTTTGAATATAACACTATTAGTTAATTTGCAGAAGGAAACTAATTATGATATTTTTCTAGGTAAGCAAAGAGAAACTCCATAAGTTGTCTACAGCATTGAACTTCTCATCCTTGTACATTTAGAACTCTGAGAATTCATACATAAGGAATGCACGAGGACTCTGCTCTAGTGTGTCTCTTCAGATCAGAAACACCTCCCAAGCACAAGAAACTGTAACCCCAGATGGAGGACTGAAAAACGAAATGTTTTTCAAAACTCAGTTATATAGGTCCCCAAAGGCAAAGTTATTTCAGAAAGTCAATGACCAAAATGCTTTCCAAGTGTCACCATCATATCTCTTATTTTCAAAGTCCATTTACCCTTCCCACCATATATCCCATTTTCCTGTTTTATGATGATATTTGCTTCTGGGAGAGAGGACAAAAGATGGTAAACACATGTGTTTGCACAATGGTCTATAATATTTCCAACCTACAAATTATGACTTTGTTTAGCCTGTCAACATTCCTTTGCATATTGAGTATCACTTCTTTCTTTCTTATTACTCCACAGGCTCCTTTCCATCTACAAAGGAGGACAATACGGAGTTAACAATACATTTCCTCAGTGTAATCATTATTCTGAGGCTAGAGTTTGAAAGGGTATTCATCGTACCAATTTTTTAAGATTGTGGTCTGTGGATGTGAATACATCAAATATATTTTATTCTCACAAAACTTGAGCGTATTATGAGAAAATGGCCAGCATGTGAATCTTCTTCCTCATCTCCATCTAGAGTGTTATTGATTCCTAGGGCAACCTGGGCCATGGAGCAGTTATTCATTTTGCCAGAGAAGGCATTACGATTCAAGATTTTGTACATAATTTTCTTTTTTGAAGCAAACACATTTCTAAAAGGTGTGATGGAAGTGTATTTGCCTCCAAATACAGCCATCAGAACGTCAGGTTGCCTCAACTTGATTTGTTTCTACAAAGTGAGAGCATTCTTCATTTAAATGAATGAAAGTCACACCTCAGTATTATGAGAGAATCAAAGTTTATGCAAAGTTTTTGTAGGAACTCAACCAGTAATGATACTTTATCTGACAACTAGCCATGTTTAAAAGCAATAAATGTAGTCACAAATTGTTATAACTGTGCCATTTTTCAGTTTTGATACAAGTGGAATCCACAATATCAAACTATTATAATGATTATTGCAAAAACTGGGAAACTTTCTTTCTAAGCAACTTAACTCATTTCTGTAGAATTTATTCATTCCCAGTTGTTGCCTTTCGATTTTCTTTAACCTCAACAATTGGGACATTAAGTCCACCTTGTTAGGAAAGGTAGGTAGCAAAAACGGGGCTGCAGATCTAGTGCCGAGCTGAAACATTCCCTTCTAAGAAATGTAGTAGCAAGAACAAAGTCTATGTGTTGGGGATGTGTGGGGAGTGGGTCTGAAAAAAGTGGTTATTAGTTACATCGCTGCTGCTAACCAGCTGTGTGACTCTATACAAATTAACTTACCTTTCTGGATTCTTCTGTCCACATTTGTACAGAAAAGGGAGTGAACTCATATTTTCAAAGTTTCAGACTACCACAACACTTTAATATACTACAATTTGGATCTTACTACAGGATCCCACCCACAATTTCCCATAATCCTTTACTTTTGTGTAATCCCTTTAGGGAACAACACAGCGATAAGCATTCAAAAACCTTACCTTTTTACTGACGCCATATCTAGGGTTTTAATCTAATTGTTCTGGGAAAATTCCAAATAAAAGAGGCCAGTTTTAGCTCCTTGTGGGAAATTTTTCCCAAAGGTATCGTTTGTCCTGTTAATTTCCAGTTACCTGAATTCATTCCTAGGATCTTTTAAAACCCTCCCTTAAAAAAAATAAAATAAAATTGAAACTACAAATCCCATGAATCAAAGCTGGAAGCCGATTCTTCCCCTCCAGCCCCTCCCCGCCCCGCCCCGCCCCGCTTGAATGTAGTCCACGAGCACTCATCTTAGGGCATCTCGCAATACGCCTGAAAGAAACGTCGCTGTTTCCTCTCGCTTTTTAGCTGTGCTCTCGCTGGGCTCCTTTAAATCGGTGCTGTGTGTGAGAGAGAGAGAGAGAGAGAGAGAGAGGAAGGATCCAGAGCGACGCAGACCGGAGTGGGCGAGGGCGCGGGCGCGGGCGCGGGCGCGGACATCACCTGTTCCAAGAAGGGCATGCGCACTGAGAGGGCGCGGGCCAGGAGGCGGGGCGCGGTGGGAGGGGCGGACGGCGCCCGCCTGGCACTGCTCAGATCTGCTTTTCTCCGGCTCGGGGCACTGAGGCGGCGTCGGGGAGTTGTCTTCTGCAAAGGTTGCCTGGCGTTGTCCAACATGGAGGAAGCGCCGGCCGCGGGCGTCACCTGCGAGCTGGACTAATTCCCGCCTGGCGTTCCGGGCGGCCGTGCCCGATCCAAGCCCAGGGACTCCGCCGCCTGCACGCCCCGCGGCGGACCCCGGCTCCGGTTGCTCCTGGCGCCGCAGCCCTCCCAACGGGGACGCAGCGCAAGGAGGGATCGCGGCGGCCCCGTCTCCCTGAGCCATGGGCAACGAGGCGAGCCTGGAAGGGGACGGGCTCCCGGAAGGGCTGGCGGCGGCGGGAGCCGCCGCTGGCGGAGGAGGGGCTGGCGGGGCGGGGAGCCCCTTGCACACCGTGATCCCGGCTAGCATGGAGGCGGATCTGAGCCAGCTGAGCGAAGAGGAGAGGAGACAGATCGCTGCTGTCATGTCAAGGGCGCAGGGGCTGCCCAAGGGAAGCGTTCCCCCGGCCGCTGCGGAGCCGCCTTCCATGCACAGGCACGCACAGCATGATGTATATGTCCGCGCATATATGTACAGCTTCCCCTGCACATATGTTCCAGTCCGTATGTGCCAGCACAGCAGTACATATATGTCGCCTCCGTTCATTTTATTCTTTCTAATAGGGTGGCGATAAAGAGATCATAAGCCTTCTAATGGGCAGAATAAAAATGATGCATTGTAGAGTTTCTGGTGGGATAGTCAAGGGTTGCATTCTTGGAACTGTGATTTTAGGTTGTGATTTTTGGCCTTTTGGAACCTTTTCCCTCTAGGATGGCCGGGAGAGACGCCCTCCAGTGTTTTGCTAATCTAGAAATCTTCCATTAATACAGAAAGAACGTGTTGGGAAATGGATAGAGCTCGGTGGTTTCCTGTCTCTCTTTAAACCTCCTCAGTCATTTGGGGTCTTTTTCTCCGTGAATGAAGTCTAAATATTTCTGTAAAAATACCTTTAATTCCCTTCGCGCTTATTTGTCCTTCCTTCACACCCTACCCCCAGAGGAGAACAGGAGCTGTTTAGGTAGAAGTGATTCTACCTAATGAATACACCTTTTATAGTCAATGAGGGACCCTAAAATATATTGTGGCATTAAGTAGATGGTTTGGTCACAGCAGAACAGGTGCGGTACATGTGTTTCTGAATTAGCATATGCTGTTTTTTTAAACCACTGCCCTTTATATGCAGAAGTGTCTTACAGTTTATGGAAGAACTTGTGAATCTGTGTTATCTTAAAATAGTTTCCAATACATACTTTTAAAGACAAAGCAAATAAATGACAACTTGCACAGGCAATTGAGAGCTAATCTGTAATATTTGCATATTCATTTCCTCTCTAGCTCTCCATTTTCTTCTTCCTAATAAATTAGTTGTTTTCTAATTAGAGTACTGAGGGTATAATCATTGTGCCTGCCCTGCCTTTATTATTGTAAATAAACCCTTGGCCCTCCCTTAGAGAACAGTTCTCTGTCTATGGTCCTGAAACCACTCCTACTGGATGATATCTGAAAGGAAACCTACAGTTTTCTTTTGAGATATTGCAAACACGAAAGAATCTGGATATATAGGTGTAGATTCTTATCGTCTACTTCATAAAATGAAAACATTTAAACTTAAGAACTGTTACGTAAGTATATGCGTATAATTTTGTCAAATAGTTATAATATTAAATTTAATATAGGAGAAATGTAAAATATTTTATGGATAGTGACAATATTTTTCATGTAAAATCTTAAATGCATAAAATCTGTCTGGTAAAAACTCTATTTCCTTGGAGTGAAACACCATTACTAGTAAAAACTAGCTCCTTTAAATTGAATATGTTGCTCTTTATTTTTAAACGAGTAATATATTGGGCTATTTCTTTGGTATAAAGCTTTTTTATCTATTACCTTAAGTAGTACAGCTTATGATATGTACTTTTTTTCGCTACTGGTGAAAACTCGATTTCGAAAAAGTGTTAAATGTTGATATACCAGATTTTCATAGGATAATAACCAGGTATAATATTTTTATTAGCCTTTTAGAAATGTATACTAGCTCTTCTGCAATTTTTCCTAAGAGGCACAAGCAACAGGTTTAGCATGTTGGTTACAAATACCAAGAAAAATGTGAGCTTTGATTTTTAAATTCCTAACTTCTGTTCAGAGGGCGGCTGAAAAATGTTGTTTCAGCCTGTAAAACCACGGTGTTTTATGCAGTATTTCTATCTGATAACATACTTTTAAAGCTTTCCATTGATAATTTTGTCAATGGTAGAATTCTTATTAATAGGTAATTTGTAGCCAAAGCAGTTGTTGGTCAAAGTTTCATCCAGTTATATATAAATAATACATTTCTGATTTTTGCAACCTGCTTAAGTTTTACTGAAAGATTTCTAGAAAATGTACTTAAGTTTTGGAAAGTTATTATCCTCGTATGTGATAACCAAAGAAATACATGGTTTACCATTTAGATTTTAAGAAATACTTTAGTTTAAATATATATAAGAAAGTATATCCAAATTATCTGAAGTTTTAAGAGATTAAGCGGTGTGAATTAGATATGGTGGGGCTTGATTTTTTTTTTTTTTTAAGAGATAAGACTTGAGAGACCTAGGTTCTTATCCTATTAATTTTAACTGACTGGTGGCAGATTATATGTGCTTCTCAGCCATATGTGCCTCAGTCTCCTTTCCTCTAAATAAGGTAAGTGATACTTGTCTTACCTATCTTGTAGAGTAATTTTGAGGCTCAATTAAAAATTGAAATGAAAATTGATCAATTCAAAATTAACAGGGACATGTTTGTTTGAATTTTAATTTGAAGGAACCCTATAAAGAAGAGTAGTAACAATATCAGCAGTGAATGGCACTGGCAGTGATGGCTACAGACAAGTTGTATGTTGACTTATTCATCGTTATGAGTTATGTTGATGTATCTGTATTCTTTTACATATGAAGAAGTCAGTGCAATGTTATGGAAAGCCTGCCCTCCACCCCCCACATCCCTCCTGGGAAACAGGACACCAGATTTCTGTGACTAACTAGTGTGATAACCTTGAATTAATTCTCTTAGCTTCTTTAAGTCCTGGTAGCCTCTGCAGTATAAAAATGAATACATATTCCTAAAGTTGCTTGTATTTCTAATATTACAAAATTTTATGTGACTCAGCACTGTCAAGTTAAGTGTCATTGCCTGTTTAAAAACATATTTCAGTATTCCAACTGTTTTTACATTCTTACACTTGAATAAATGTTTACCTCAATTGTAGCTGAAACATTTTTTTCTGCTACACTATGAAAGAAAAATTCTAGTCTGGGGCTGACAATAGTAAAATGAAAAGGGAGGTTGTATAAAACATGGGTAGTTACAAGCTAGAAGTTACTGCTCGTGGCTTTTTGATTCATTGTCGGCCCAGGGAAATGCAATTTTATTACTTCTACTCATTCTGTTTTCAGCTACAGATATGTCATATGAGAAGGGCTTTACTGAAAAACACTTCTGATTAGTAGAGTATTTTAGATGAATTCTGACTGAATCAGTGATTTTCTTTAGCATTCTTTAGGGCCTCCCATACTGGGTAGACACCTCCACAACTGTTTTTCTTCCTAGAGCAACAGGCCAAGTCCAGATTCTAAAATGAATGTGGAAGGTTTCCATTTGTATCTCAGAAAGCCTGTAGAAGAATTTGAAGTGAAAAGAATTCAAGAAACATTAACGTAGAGTAAAACAAAAACCTGATATATTCTTTCATTCCTTCACTTGTTGTTATTCATTCATTCATCAAACAGTGATGTTCATCTACTAGTTACCAGGTTTGGTTCTAGTGATGTAAAGATGAGTGAAACATTCTCTCTCTAGGAGTTCACAGTCTAGTATAGAAGACACAGATTGCATTTTAGTCATTTTCTTTTTGAACAGAACAGCTGTTATACCAAATAAAAATTCACCAAAAGACCATAGTTAGTGAAAATATCTTTATATTTTCGGTCAGTAGTAAGCCTATATCTTTTCTTAATGATTGTCTTTCTGTTTCTCACTTCCAGATCTCCATGTTTTACATTTTATTTACATAATTATAGCAACTAAAACTAAGTTTAAATTGTAGGGGTCTTTATAGCTATGTAGGTATTTTAATCACAGGGGATTCTATAATATAATACAACTTATATTTATAGGGAGTACATGCAATTATAATTTCGCATGCAAGCAGCTTGCCTAAATTTCTTTGTTTATTATTATCACAAATATTTGATATTCACAGTTTTTTTAAATTTTGTACGTATGTTGGTAGGTGAAATACTATCATAAAAACAGAATAGAAATAGAATAATGCGAAGATCTGAACGGTGGAACTTTTTGGAAATGATCTTTTTTAGATTGTCTGCTGTGGCTCTTCTAGCTTCACATGGAGGAGAGTACATAGGGCTATAAAGAAACATTCAAAATTATTTGCCCCAAATGGAGATAGGTAGCAATGCATTTTAAAAGATACCTTAGAACTGTTGTTAGGGTAATGATTTTAGTTCCTTGTTTAAGAAAAGACTTCAGAGACATGATAATGTCTAAAGTTTTTGTAACTTTTTTCCTGGAGGAAATTGCCAGAACTAAGACTTCTATTTATTCACCTTTTTTAGAAAATCATTTTGTGCATACGTTGTCATTTTATGGATTATTTTATTTCTGACCCTGGCTATTCAGAAATAATGCTTCTTTTTTTCTTTCTGCTATGGCTTACATCTTGATGTATACTCAAATTTCTGTGTCATTAGGGGAATTTCAAAAACTTAATTCATATTGAGTACTAAATGATCTGAAATTTAAAATTTATGGTCTGGTTTGTTAGCAGGTATATTTTGAGAGAACAAATTAAAACCTATAGAACTTCATTGTGATCATCTCGTATTTTAAATGCTACTGAATCACTGTTTCTTTCCCCTTTTTTCTTTTAATTAAAAGGAAATAATTTTTTTCCAAAATTAAAAAGCAATATATATCAAACAAAATACTTATAATTTTATTTTTTTCATAATTCTAATGCAGCATGTTCTTATTAGTTGCAACTTTATCAATAAAGAATGGCTTATTTAAAAAATTAATATGCTTGATGTTTGGGTAAAAGTATGTATAAGAAAAAACTATTTTAATTCTTTAACCATAGTCATTTAAAATTGATCACATTTCCAAAACTATTTCAAAAGATCCATCATATTTGTCTATGAATTAAAAGAAATCTTGCAAATTAATTACTTGTTACATTTTTAAATCAACATCAAAAATAAATAATATTACTAATAATCTAACAATGGCAATAGTAAATGCTATAGAAAACATTCAGTACAGAGGCCATTATGTATTTTCTTCATCCGAGGAAAGTAACAATACTTTTCAAAAGTGGGGTCACAATCGGCTTATTGCTGTTTGTGTACCAGGCTATATCTCAAGATGCTTTAAATATCTATTGTGACTTTGCATACAGATCTCAGATTAAGAATTAGTTATTGGAAAAATAATTAAATGATATGATACTATTCTTTCATAATAAAGATGCAATTATTTCTGGAAAATTTCCAATTAATCAGAGTAGGAATTCTCATTCTGTAAAATTTAGTAAGGATAATATTTGATGGATAGTACCGTTTTAGACGGAATGGGTAAAATTGAATAGATTCTCAACTTTCTCAGAGTCCTTGGAAAGACATCATGTAACCTCCTTTACTAGACATTCCCCTGATGTCCGGTTGTATGCCTTATGTAACTAATGTAAATTCTCATAATCAAGTAAAAAACAAACAAACAAACAAAATAGTCGCAGCAAACTCCCACGTTTTAAAGTGAATATTTTTATTTTTTAGTGATGCTGGTATTTGGGAGACTAACAACATGCTTTGACCATAACTTTTGATCAAAAAGGATATACTGGGGCTGGCTCCGTGGCCCAGTGGTTAAGTTCGAGCTCTCCGCTGCAGGCAGCCCAGTGTTTTGTTGGTTCGAATCCTGGGCGCGGACATGGCACTGCCCATCAAACCACGCTGAGGCAGCATCCCACATGCCACAACTAGAAGGACCCACAACAAAAAATATACAACTATGTACCAGGGGGCTTTGGGGAGAAAAAGGAAAAAAAAAAAAAGAATATACCCTGTGAACATGAATGTACTGGGACATAGTGTTGTGTTGAGTTAATATATCTAATTAGGATTTAAGTATGGTCAGATTCTATTAAATGTAAATGCAAATTATTTTTATTGTAAGAACTTTCGAACTAGGTATCTTAATTTTTCATTCCTCATAGTAGCAAGTACTGTTTTTCCCCCCTTTTTTCACCTCCTTGTTGAAAATCTCTACACATTTAAAGAAAGGAACAGAGACGTTAAAAAGTTTTATGATCATTTACAGGATGTTGCAAAAATGGATTCTAGTTGTATTTACACATAATTTTGAGGGTGTAAGAAAGTAATAGGTTTTTAATATTATTTTGAGTTGGGATCATTTCCATTATTTTCACTTCTTTTTGTTTCACTCTCTAGGAAACAAGAGTTGGATAGTAGTCATCCTCCAAAGCAACCAGGAAAACTGCCGGACCCTGGGCGTCCAGCTCAGCCTGGTCTCAGTAAAAGCAGAACTACAGACACTCTGAGGTCAGAGCAGAAATTGCCTGGAAGGAGTCCTTCCACTATTAGCTTGAAAGAATCAAAGTCCAGAACTGATTTTAAGGAAGAGCACAAATCTAGTATGATGCCTGGCTTCCTCTCAGAGGTTAACCCTTTAAGTGCTGTCTCCTCTGTTGTAAATAAATTCAGTCCTTTTGATTTGATAACAGACTCTGATGCCTCCCAGGAAGAAACTACCAAGAAACAAAAAATAGCTCAGAAGGAACAAGGAAAACCTGAAGGAATTGTAAAGCCTCCACAACAACAGTCACCCAAGCCAATTCCTAAGCAGCAAGGACCCGTGAGGGCCCCACTTCAACACGATGGCTCTCTCAAATCAGTATCTTCTCAGCAACCAGAAAAAATTAAATCACAACCTCCAGGGACAGAAAAGCCAATTCAGGGGCTTACCCAGTCTCCTCAGACAGACCAGGCCAAATTGCCACTTCAAAGAGATGCAGCGAGGCCTCAGACTAAACAGTCAGACACAGTAAGAGGAGAATCAGTTAAAGCCTCAGTACAAAGTCCATTCAAACCAACACTTCAGCAAGCAAGTCCTGCGAAACCTCCAGCCCAGCAGCCTGGACCTGAAAAACTTTCCACGCCACAGCCTGGGCCTGCAAAGCCCTCAACTCAGCAACCAGGGCCAACAAAGGCCCCAGCTCAACCGCCAGGTCCAGCAAAGCCCTCACCTACACAGCCTGCAGCAAAACTCCCAGCCCAACCACCAGCAACAACAAAGCCTGCAACTCAGCAGCCCAGGCCCAAGTCTCCAGCTCAGCCTCCTGGGCCTGCAAAGTCTCCAGCTCAGCAGGTTGGGCCCGGAAAGACTCCAGCTCAGCAGCCTGATCCAACAAAGCCCCCTCCTCAACAGCCTGGCCCAGCAAAGGCCCCTCCTCAACAGCCTGGCCCAGCAAAGGCCGCTTCTCAACAGCCTGGCCCAGCAAAGCCCCCTCCTCAACAGCCTGGCCCAGCAAAGCCCGCTCCTCAACAGCCTGGCCCAGCAAAGCCCCCTCCTCAACAGCCTGGCCCAGCAAAGCCTGCTTCTCAACAGCCTGGCCCAGCAAAGCCCCCTCCTCAACAGCCTGGCCCAGCAAAGGCCCCTCCTCAACAGCCTGGCCCAGCAAAGCCCCCTCCTGAACAGCCTGGCCCAGTGAAGGCCCCTCCTCAACAGCCTGGCCCAGCAAAGGCCCCTCCTCAACAGCCTGGCCCAGCAAAGCCCGCTCCTCAACAGCCTGGCCCAGCAAAGCCCCCTCCTCAACAGCCTGGCCCAGCAAAGCCCCCTCCTCAACAGCCTGGCCCAGTAAAGGCCCCTCCTCAACAGCCTGGCCCAGCAAAGCCCCCTCCTCAACAGCCTGGCCCAGCAAAGCCCGCTCCTCAACAGCCTGGCCCAGCAAAGCCCACTCCTCAACAGCCTGGCCCAGCAAAGCCCACTCCTCAACAGCCTGGCCCAGCAAAGGTCTCAGATCAGCAAGCTATAAAACCGGTAAGCCGAACAGGAGCTGGGAAACCTCTGCAGCCACCGACTTCTCCATCTGCAGTACAGACTCCAGTACAAGGCCTCCCTAAAACCATCTGTCCTCTTTGCAACACCACTGAACTTCTGTTGCATGTTCCAGAAAAGGCCAATTTTAACACATGCACTGAGTGTCAAACTACTGTCTGTAGCCTCTGTGGTTTTAATCCCAATCCTCATTTAACCGAGGTGAGTAGATTTATTCAGTGTGTCTGAACTCTTAAACTATATCATCGTCTTCTACGAATGGTGCTTAGTTTATAGCTGATATGCCAGCATAACATTGTTTTTCTCCGGTTCTTTCCTTCTTTCCCTCCTTCCTTCCTTTTTTCTTCTCTGCCAATTGTAAATTAGAATTTTTTAAAACAGTTTCTCCAATAATAAGCCCAAAATATTGCCATGGTTTCTGATATATTTGGCAGATAAAGTAAATATGAGTTGATTGAAAGATGCAGAGCATTTACTCATTGCACTCTGTGTAAGATCCACGCTATTTATGGTGTACTAAATGTTGATATTACTTTAACTTTTAAATTCTTATTCCTCCCTACCAAAATTCTGATACTCTTAACTGGGATCATATTTGTGGTGGGGAAAAAAGTAGACAGTGTTTTCAAATTCTAAATACAATTTTAATCTAAAATTGAACACACTTTTTCAAACTGCACGGGCCTCTTTCCCTGCGAGTGATTTTAGTATCCCCTGTGAGAGCATGCTTTCCTCATTCATTGAGAGTCATTAATAACAGCGTAAGTCAGTTCGTAGACAGAAGAAGTCATTAGCGCAGGTTCAGCACTGATGGGTGTCTTCTCAAAAGAAGCTCAGAGTCTGTCTCCATGTCTTTGGGTAAGCCTTTCTGACATAACAGATCATAGAGGGGCCAGTAGTAACAAAAATGAATTCAAGGTTGTTTAATCTGATTGAGGATACAAAAGTAGTTCTCAGCAAGTCAGCACTTAATGTTAATGTTAACTCAGCACTTAAAGGCCCTGAATAAAATAGCATTTTAATAGGTAGAGATTTGGGGACATTTGAGGAGAAGGGACAAAAAGGACAAGAGAGCAGAAAAACTCAGAAATTCTCTGGAGTTAAGAAATAATACAGTGAAAATGGGATAGTAATATAAATAAAGTGAGACTAAAGAGGCTTAGGGTCTAAAAGAATATATTTTTAAAAGAAATCTGGTAGCCCTTCCCCGAGGAGAAGGTCCATCTGGAGGACAGCTGTTAGAGGGCTGTATGTGCATCATGTTTGCGAACAGCCCAGGGAAGAACTGCCAGCAGGCAGTGAGGATTGCGAGATTTAAACATCTCTGAGAGAGGAGACTTGTTATGAGTGAAATCTCTGTTATGGCAATAACAACAATGATGATGATTGGTAGCTGTTACATTAGTTTGGATACTCACTGTGATGAAAAATGAAAATGATGTACATTTAAAATGTGTCAGCCTCTGGTTGTTTTCTAAAGTACCTTTTACTCTTTTAACCAGAAGTTATACCGAGTACCTTAGCTTTTGAAAGAAGCCATTCTTTAGTGATAAAATTGCAATTAATAAGAACATGCATTGAAGTTAAGGAGGAGAACAGATTATAGTTTGTTTATGTATTGGTAGCTTTTTAAATTTTAGTGAAGATATGTTTCTGCCCATAGTATACTATCTTGATAAGAATGTGCAGTAATAATGACTTCAAACAGCATGCAGTGGCAGGTGTCCCACATGTAAAGAAGAGGAAGATGCGCATGGATGTTAGCTCAAAGCCAGTCTTCCTCACCAAAAAAAGGAGGATTGGTGGCAGCTATTAGCTCAGGGCTAATCTTCCTCAAAAAAAAAAAAAAAAGTTTGTCATGTTTTCATGGCAATTTATAAGGCAGAAACATGTAGTTGGACATTCAAGCCACATATATTGTGAATACTTAACTATATGGAAGACATTTTACTACATGTTTGGTAGGATATAATGATAAACTAAAACAATGCTGATCTTAACATGATGAAAATGTACTTGGTTAGATAATCCATGCACAAGGAAATACAATATGTGGTCAAATGATAAGAGCTGTGAGAGATATGAACAAATATTGTGGCACTTCAGAGGAGGAAGTGTCATTTCTAGTGGGTAAGGTTAAGAAAAGCTTCATGGAGAAATTGGCGTTTGAGCATATATAAGGATGGATACTATTTCAACAGATAAAGGACATGAAAGGGGTAATGATTTGGTCCAAGACCTAGAGCCACAATAATGCAGAGTGTATTTAGGAGTCAGGGATAAATCTAGGTTGGCTGAAATGGTGGGGAAGAAATCAGCAATGAGATTGGAGAGAAAATGAAGTCAGATTTTGGCCTTCCACATTTAGCAGGCAGCGATGAGTGCTCTCCTTTATGAAACTTGCCTTAATTAATCTAGTTATACAGTCATTCCTTCATTCATTTGACAAATTTGTATCAAATACCTAGTGGTGAAGCACCAATGAGTGCTATGACAGAATCAAGTATTCTTTAGGTAGGGAATCTTTCTTTAACCAGAAAATAGGGGAAATAAAAGTTGATATAAGAAAGAAAGAAAAAAAAAGTATGTATATGAAAAGTAACTTTGTGTAGGCCTTTACAGTTCACATAGTTCTTTTCTTTTTGTTTTATTAAAATAAAATTTCCAAATAATTGTATAGGCATATATTCTGTTTTCTCTGTTATACTAATGAGAAAACCGGTGATCAAGTGGTTACGATGGTTAATTTACGTGTTAGGATCACCCTAGTAGTAAGTAACCAAGTAGAACCCAAACCAAATCCATTTATTCATGATAGGAAGAGAGATAAAGAACTATGAGGTCAAAGGAAGAAACCATCACTGTCAGCAGGGATTGCCACAATGATCTTCGTGGAGTATTTGAGCGTGAATCTGGAGAATAATAAGAATTTGGACACATGTGAAAGGAGTTGAAAATGTAGGGGCAGGTAGAAGGCCTCACTAGCTAAATAAAGGAAAGCATCCCCATTATTGATCAGCTGAGCTTGGGCAAGCCATTTACACTTTCTGTAACAATGACATCATTTAAAAAAAAAAACAATGTGTTCTCAGCCAAACGCTTCGGGTTGTTAGGAGGATTAACTGAACATTTGCATGAGAAGGCATTTTTTAAATACATGAAGTGCTTTTGAAGTTGCAATATAATGCAACATGGATTTAATATTTTAAACAGACTTGACTTTTAAAGTTTACTCTCAACTTGTTTTCTACGTAGATACAATATCATAAGTTGTTGGGTTCTAAGGTAGCAATCAAAAGCCATTTGATCTACATTGTTAATAGTAACATTTCATTTTAACTTTCATATTTTCCCATAAGGAAAAGTGTAATCTGAGTTCTAAATTCCGAACTCTAGGAAGGCATCTTCCCTAAACCTGTCCACCAAATGGCCAGTGCCTCAAACTCTTGAGTTATCAGGAGGTCAGAGTTAGGAAGTTAGAGCTCTGGATAGAGGCTGAGAGCTTCTGTTTCAAGAGATAAGGCATGAAGTTTTGGGAACGCTCACCACTTCCAGACTGTTACATGTATCCATGAGAAAGTGAACTTCTCTGCAATTTTTGAAGACGACCTAACACTCTGGGTCAAATTGTCCTCAAATATTCAGATTGAATAAACAAACAGTTTTTCCATGCAAGATAGGGGCAGGGCCTGGACGTTCTTTAGTACTTTAGTTTATATGAATTTATCATTTTCAAGTTTGATGTTTATATGCAAGTAAGTCTCTATATTATTACTGTTGTAGTCTATGGGTAAAATAGAATACAGGTCTCTTGTATCACTCTCAGGAGAGTTTCTCTGATATTTTGTTACCACACATCAGAGTTATGACTATATTTGCCTATGGTCATCCTGGCTCTTAAGTGACTAAGCCTGGAGAGGAAAAGCCGGAGAGGTATCAACAAGTTTTAGGGAAGGGAACTTTTACTTTCTTAACTAAATTTGTCAGCTCTCTCCCACCCCTGTCTGGCTGACACACACACACACATCCTAGATAACCGAAATATCTGTGTGAAGAGGATGGCATTTAGATTAACTGTCCTCTCTGGTGGCTGTCAAGACATGTGCTGTTTCAAATAGACCTTAAGAATCCACTGACTCTAAGCCTAGAATTAGATGCCGAGAGGAGATTGTAGCTGTATCTCTTCTTGCTGGTCCGTTAATGGAATAAATCTCAACATTACAGGTTCTCTCTTTGGGCTTGTTTTCTGACAGAGAAACTCAACATTTGCTTTCTGAGTAGTAACAAAAGCAATTTTCGTTGTTGTTTTTGTTGATTTACTTTATTTGTTTTAATACTAGCCTGGGCAAGATAGATTTAGGGAGACATTTAAAGACTTGCCCCTAATGTCTGATAATTCTCCTGGTTCTTATGAAATTTTGTAATATATGCAATGACTTGTCATTTTTTAGAATGTTGACAATGAACCAAATATTAATGATGCAGGTGGATTTAGATTTTTTTTGCCGTATTACTTTTGGTCATTATGGCCCATGTATTAATCAGTCTCTTGGCTGAAACCAGATATTTTATTTAACAAAAACATGGCCATCTTTCAGGAGCTAAACAAACAAACACACACACACAGACTTGCATATAAACTCTCTCCACTTATTAAAAAACAAAACAGAATGAAAAATGACTGAAATTCTTCAGGTTGGCAAAATGGCTCAACTGGCCACTTCTTTTAGGTGGCCTGCTGCTTCTTCTTTTGAGGAGAAAAAGGAAAAATAAAATCTTAAAAAAAAGGAATTATAGTAGGAACGAATAGGACAAGTGAACAAGTGGGAAGAAAGTAAGAACCCAACAGATTTTTTTATACAAGGACAGGATGAAAACATGATTGAAGAAAATTTATTCAACAGTTAATGTGAATAGTATGAACATGAGCAAATATAAATTCTTAACATTATGTTTGTTCTTTTGATGTTCCATTCTTCCAAATACTATGTTATGTTGTTGAGCAGAGATTCTGTTATAAATCTTACGTAGACTTTATGTTTAAAATTTCCAGTTTGGAGCACATTGAGGGGTGAATGTTAGTCATTATGCCTTCTGGACATTTCTTTTTGAGAGGTTTACAGTTCTGTTTTGAAGCTAAATAGATTAATAATAGTTCTGAGCAGGAATGTGCTGTAATTCTGGAACCCCAGCATTTGCCA